ACTGAAACAACAGTGCCGGCAAAAAGCCTAGAGAAGGGGCAGTTATAGCAGCAAAACCCTGTTGGGGAGCTTATTTCTTGTTTGGTTCAGAAATCAGTTCTAAGTTGTGGGTTGGGTCGGGTTTTAAAAAGTGTGTTTGCCACTAAAATCTGCTTGCTTGCCAAAAGTTTTTGCAAGCGCAGCCAGACTGGCAGGGCGTTCGCAAGCGCGGAGGAACGGTGCGCCCTGCAGAGCTGATGCCTCAGTCATCGGGCAGTTGTGTCTTGTTCTCCTCCACTGAATGAATGTCAACAGAACCGTCCTTGCGAGGACGGGCCAGTTCTGGCCGTTTCTGAATGCTTTCACAGCAGTTTAATAGCCCTTAAAACCTAGTTGTTCTCCTACTTGGCTTTGAGAGAGGGTGATAAGGGTTAATAACTCACCTGCAAATGTGGAGCGGGCGAGTAGTTCAGAACTGTCTTTTCCTTGTAGAAAAGTGCACGTCTTAAAAGACTCTTTTGGTTTAATTGAAATATATTTTATATGTTACACATATGAAGTTATTTTATTTGCCATTTTTTGGTTATTCTGTTGAAACATTATTTTGTTGTTGCATTAATAAACTGTTAAATCCAGCAGTTACTAATTCCCTGGCTCTGGCTGCCTGCACAGCCCTACATGTCCTTCCATTTTTTTCCAGTGTTCAAACCGGTCGGTGCCCCCCTGGGGGGGTGAGGAGGAAACTTCCCTGACCTTCTGCTTTTTCTGTACTTCAGCCTCTTTAAAGACTCCAGATCCCTGTGCGCGCTCATTATCAGGCGACTAGAAAGAACGAAAACAATGCGTTTCACATTAATAACAAACCCTTTGTACAGTGTCACAACTGGGAGTATAAATACATATTTAAAAGCTTTGTGCTTATAGTGCTGTAAGTTTGTACGTCACTCGTCAGGAAGCTCTATAATTCCTATGGCAATTTCCTTCCATTGGGAACTCCCCTTTAAGTGAAAGGGAAGTCTGTGGGACTTTGTAGAAAGAGCTTTTCTTCAAAATGTTTACAAAGAATTTGAATTAAGTAGGTGCAAACAGGTAAACCAGGAAAATAAAGAGCTGCACTTCAGCAGCAGTTCAGAAAACACCTAAAGGAGGCGGCTGCTACTGTGACTGACATTAACTCCTTAATGAACAATGTTCCAGAGATTTTGTTTTTTAAACTTTATGGCTTGTTTACCCATTTATTTCATTCAAATTCCTAAGTAGAAAACTCAAGCTCTACACAAGAAATCCCATCCTGTTGGCTTTGCCATGTAAAATATTACTGTCGGCATTATCTGCTAGGTTTTACAGTAAGCCAAAAACTGCATTTCAACAAACGCTTGTTAAACACAGCTTAATTCGTAAACGTGGAGCAACAAGTGAACAAACTGATTTCCTTCAGTTAGCGAACTTGTGTAATAAAGCTGTGTTTTATTTTATCTATTTGCCTCTTCCCTAGAGAAGATAAAAAGCCTTTACTTCAGGTCAGAAAATAACCATGCTGCTGACAAGGAACGTGGCAAGGCCGTGCAACAATAAGGTAAGGGGTGAGAAATGACACGTGCCATTACGTTTGCTTCAAGCATCCGTCTGAAATTCCTCTATTTACAATTATTTAGGGTTGAAGGGAGACGTGCAGGCAGAAAATAACTATTTTTAAAGTCTTGCGTTTAAGAACAGTCTGAAGCATGCTGCTTCCTCCGTGGCTCTGCACTCACTCGTGGGGCAAGGGGCCATTTAGTAGGATCGCGGGGGACGGACTCGCCCGCCCTCGCTCTCCTCGTCCCTTTTACCGCATTCGTGCGCGCGTACGGCACCACGCGTGCCTTTTGCAGGATGAGGCTGTTATAACCTCACTCCCCAGAAATCCAGAGACTTGCTGCTCTAAAACAAACTCGGCTTCGCAGCCTGTGGGCGTTAAAAAGCTCCGCGAAGCCAGCTCTTCCCTCCTCCTGCCCGTAATCAGGACAGCGAGGTCTGCGTGAAGCGTGCCCCGGGTACCCTCCCTGATGCCGAAGTGTGCTCTTACTTGAGATTAGAGAGCTCAGCAATCAGACCGCAGACAACATCTGTTGCATCTTCCTTCTGGGAGGGGTCGTAAATCCCCTCCATCACCTCAGCGCTAATGAAAAAGAGGGAGGAAGAATTGGAATGTTTCTAATTGCCAGCTCAGTCCCTTCTTACTTAAAATAACGGGCTCTACTCTTTTTACAAGAGTCCCTTGTATATATTTACACGTGATTTAGTTCCCTTCTAAGATTCCTTTACCATGCTAGTGTAGCGTATATGAAAATGCAAACCAGGTACATTTTATGTAGCGACTATCTGCTTCAGTTTAGATCAAGTTCTTATTTTTTAAGTTTATCAGATACTAAAAAATGTTGCTTCTTGCTCATAGAAGCATTGGAGTGAGGCTCTTCTAGTGAGTACTATTTGAGGCATAAAATGAAGTTCTTCATGTTTGCTATTTTGCTAGAAAATAACAGGCTAATGATTACAGCACCATACATCAGAAGGGATCCCATAACCCCCCCCCCCCAATGACTTTATTCATTGTTAAGAAAAACAAGTGCTCTGCCTAAAACTATAGGGAAATTTTAGGTAGGCAAAGTGTAATTCTCCGCTTAAAACTCTTCTCACTCTGTCTGCTGATGAATCCTGTGAATACGACCTCACAGACACCTCGGCTTTTTCAAATCCTGCGTCTGCTGAACAGTGCGACACAGAGTAGGAAATCTGCCTACCTGGGCTGCAGCTTGCCTGGGCCATTTATATTAGGGACCAGAACTGCCTTTTCTAGGTGGCTTTGTCCTCTTTCAGCACACGGCTGGCTTTCGGGCGCCGAAGACTCCTGTTTGTTATCAGCAGAAAATGGCTGGGTGGGGGAAGAAGTTAGCATGAAAATGGAAACATGTGCTGCATAACAGACCCAAGAAAAACGAGTTCCAGGGAGGAGCCGTTTCTCACCCAAGCCCCATTCCAGTTAAAATTAGAAGGGAGCAAAACTAGTCTAGCTTACAGGTATATCTATATGCATTTTTATCGTAATACCAGGATGTATTTCTAGGGTAATTAGTGATGATGACAAGCATGGCTTTGCTGTAGGCGTATCTTCTGAGTATCATTTGAGACAGTTCCGCGTTAAGGAACAGAAGGGGCGTAGGCAGACTCCAGTGCCAAAGGATTTCAAGCTGGGCAGCCTAAAATGGCAGCACAAGGGGGTTTTTTTGCCCCCTTCGGGTTATTCTCACACTACTGCTTTAGGCGTTTTGAGGGAAGTATGGCCAAAATACGCATTTGGGGATTCTACAGAAGGAAGGGGTCAGAACACTGTGGCGCCTATGTAATTCCATGCGTTTGGCCAGACGCACCGAGAATGTGACTTTTCTCTGAAAGCCGCATGTACCTAACTTCGCCCTAAAACGGGTGTTTATGGTTAACATTAACTTAACTTGACAATCACTATCAAGTCAAATTACCTGCTGCGGTGGAAATTTGAGGCTGCTGTCTTTGAGGACAGCCTGTAAATCGCTGTCAGGCAACAATTCTAATTCTAGAGAAAGTTCGTCTCCTCCAGTTGAACAGGTTTTGTCCTCGGGGCTCGTATCTGCAGGTATGCCACCGGGCAAATTCTTATCTGCGGCAGAAAGAAATTTCCTGTCATCTGAATTAGCGTCAGCTTTTTCGCTGTGACTGGCCATCGCTCCTTTTTCCAGTTGTGCAAGAACGCGGCTAGGGGGGCGAGTGCTTTCCGTGGGAATGGGCTCCATCGTTTTTCCAGTGAGCGCCGTTTCTTTGGCGTTTTCTCCATCGAGCTGGAGTGAGCAGGGAGTGGGCTTCCCTTCTGCCTCTAGAATTTGGATCTTTCCTGGTGGGATCTCTGTATTTGGCAATTTCTCTCCAAGTCTGTTAAGATTTGGCTCGCCTGTGCTGAGCCGTGAGTGCTCTTTGCTAGGTCTCACTTTTTCACTTCCATTTTCTTTCTGTTCCTCTGGAAGATCTTCTTGTTTCCTCTTCCGTACGGAATCCCCATGAATTGAGACAGTTGAATCAGGTTCAGACACTGAGCTGGTCCCTAGAGAGAGTATTCCTGCCTCTTCTGCCTCTTCTCTGCCTCTATCAGCCTCTCCCTTGTAAGACATTGTATGCAGCAAAGTATTGCAGCTCTCAAGGTGACTCATGCTCTCGGCTTCCGGGCAAACCGGACTAACTGTACTGGGAGCGTGTGCGTTTTCCGATTCGGAGAGATCTACCTCCATCTTCAGCTCCACAGCTGGGGTACAGCCACCTGAAACCCTTCCAGAAGCATGGCTGTCGCTGCGGCCGTGTTCCCCGTCTCGGCCAGCGCAGGGAGGGCTGCCTCGCTCGGCCCCGCTGCCTGCGTTTAAAACGTCACCGCTCCCGAGCGGCTCCCTGGGTTCCGCAGCGTTGCCCCCGCTGCCGCGGTCGCTTGGCTGAGCGGCGTTGCCGTCTCCGCCTGGACTGCTCTGCCGAGCTGCTCTGCCGCCTCTGCTCTGCTTTTCGGCAGTCTCCTGAGCACGGGAGTTGTTCTCCTTAGCTGTGACAGGATTTTTTAACAAAGATTCCGTTACGTTTTCCGCTGTTTCATTTTTTCCTTCTGTATCAGTCACACTTTGTTGTTCCCCATTCACATCTTCACTGCTTTCTTCTTTAACCCAGCTGTCCGATACAGCCTCAGTTTTATTTTGTTCTGCGTTTACAACAGACTCGCACAGCAATCCCTTGTTGTGAGGCAACTCTGCAGAGAAGCTCCTGTCCTGACAATTGCCAATACTCTTCTCTGGAATATCAGGAAATACAGAAGCGGCTTCGATCAAAGAGGTTTTTTCGCAGGGGTCGTCTTGTAAACGGGATGCTGTCCCCTCTCCTTGTTGTTCTGGCAGCACTAAGTCATTCTCAGGATTGTTGCTGATATTCTTCATTCTGAGGCAAGTTTGAGGTTTATCTAGCTCCTCGCAAAGACTTCTCTGACGCTCTGGAGTTGCCACTGAGTGATCCTCTTCCATTTTGACCACAATTAAATTTGCCTGTTCAGATGCCTCTGCCTGAGACTTTGCTTTCTGGGTAACTGCCTCTGATGGCTTCTGTTCTAGACTGATATCCATATTTTGGGTATTACAGACTATTATTTCCTGAAATAATAAGGTGCATGCATCATTAATGCCTTAAAAAATAGCTATTTTTGGTTTTGTGTTTTTATAAAAAGCAGCGCTTACTCCATTCGGTATAAATACCAAACAATTTACAGGAACCACCTACTGAACTCTGAGAGCTCTAACAAAAGTCACATTCATACAGCAGGATGTGACAAAGCCAGAAGGTCTTACTGCTCTGTTCTGCAACGTAGCAACAAGAAGTAGCTTTAAATTGTATAGTTTATTAACAACAACAAAAACAAACCTGTCCATAGGAAGATGGTTAACTGGGATGCACCATTTTACCTGTTCTGTTCGACTCCTCGGAGCGACACCGTTGTTTCGCTTCCGTTTCTCCGCCAGAGCCTCCTTCGGCCTTGTGAAGACTGGCACAAACTTCCCTGCTGACTTCTACAGCCAAGGGCAATAGTGATGAGTGTGAGGAGCAGTTACTCCCCGGGGGACCGAGCAATCCAACATCCTGAGCACCATGCCCAGTCTTCCCAGCTCAGCAGCTCTCAATATCGATTAGAAAGACAGCGAGGGGATGACCTCATCCGGCTTATAATCCTATCTGGGTAGACACTGCAAACCATCCCCGAGAAGCTCACAATGTTATGTCAAGCCTGAAGCTTAGAGGTTTTCTTTCTCGATTTAATAGAGAACAAGCTGAACCCTTAAAATTCTGGGAAATGCTTTCTGCAGTTTGTACATATTTGAAATGCATTATTTTACACTGTAACAATGGATTAAATTAGGTGCATTTTAATAACACACTTCAGTTTTGCAGTGAATGCGGGGTTTCAGTTAAACCCACTTTTTTCAGGTGCAATTTGTTGTCATGTGCTCATTCCAGAACTTTGGCAACGCTGCTGCGTGCCCTAGGGTATACATTTGAGGGAGATATGCTGGCAGCGTTCAAGCAGCTAAAGTGAATTTGTCCACAGAGGAAAAACAGCTACACAAAGGCAAATCTAGCTATGCTGTGGAAGGAATTTCCTGCCAGCCGAATGCTTAGACAGTATCGAGGAGATCGCAGTGCAGCACGCTGCTACTGGCGGTCTCGGGCAGAACCTTCAAAGCAGACTTACCTGAGATAAAGAAATTGAGGTAAACTGCTTCGCCTGACTTCGCTCCGCAGCAGTCTTCTCTCCTTCATCGTTTGAACTATTAAAGAGAATACAATAGCGTGCACGTCTAGCTAGTGTCAACGTGTTATCTTGGGGTAAGTCATAATCGCCTTGATTGGGGCTGCGTCTCTGTTTTACAGGACGCGAGCTCTGTGGGTTATATCGCCCTACAAACTCACGTTCTGGTGATTTCCAAGTTACATGGCGCAAACTCTGTTACCTTGCTTGCGAGTTTGCTTCCAAACTTTCAGTGCTTCCCGGGTCCTTCTCTTCCCGTTCCTCTGCCCCTCCCGCGGTTGGCTTTGATTTGCCTTCAGAATCCATGATTTGGGTCTGTCCTGTCAGGTCTAAGCCCTCTGTCACCTCAGGATCTTCCCTAAGTCTTTTCATTTTGGAAACACTGCACTTGCTGTCTCCTCCTTTTAAGGGAAAAAGTCATTAGAAAACAGCCTTGGCAGTAAGAGTGACTAGAACAGAAAGAACAAGGTTGTAGAGCTGTGTGGTAAACTGTCAAGTAGCAGCAACAATTTTATCAAAACCTATGAAAAAAACCTGCCTGAAGCTTAAAGTACTATCCACCCCTGGCCTACAGGTTGCCCATGTAGGTTTTGCATTAATTCCTGTTACTAAATCCTATGAAAACGCTTGAACTAAGGAAGCTTTTAAAATCTGCTAGCAACACAAGGCCTATCACAAACTCTTGGTAAGTTCCGACTTCGGTGGAGGCACTGGGGCACAAGCACCTTTGTAAAATACTAACCTGACTTTTAACAATAAAAACACCCATAGCAGATGAGGAAGATTTTGCCCTGGTCAGATTTACCAGTATAAACACCCAAAGGTTGTTCTTTCTGAGGACAACAACGTCCTGAGGCTGCAGACGTCTGCCGCTCTGGACGGACTTTGGGTGTTGCTTTGGTGGAGAGGAACAGAAATTAAACGAGAAATCCTAAGAAACCCTGCGTTACCATAGCCCCCGTACAACAGGGCGGCCTCAGGTATTTTGTTTGTAGGAAGCTTCAAGTATGTTTCTAGTGTTAAAAGTTAATTACAGCGGTCAAACTCCAGTGCTCTTTTCTAGGTTAAATCAGTATTTTATTAATCAAAATCGGTGCTAAATGAGATGTAACGTTTAATCTGAAT